GTCCTGCATTTTAAGAAAAGGAACGAATTGCTTATTGACACAGATCATGGTTCAACGCTTCGCGCGATGTACAATATGCGGAAATGTTTTTACTTTTCACATCAAGCTAAAGCAAGATGTCATTCTAGTTCGAAGCTAAGGTGAAATGTGGTTGTGCGCATGTGCAAATGTCAGGGTTTTCATTGGGCAACGCGACTCACAGCGCCGACGAGGAAACTGGTCACTTGATTGCCTGAAAAAAACAAGTTAACGGTTTTTTTTTTTCAGGGGACCCATCATGGCGACGCGATTATATCATACAGCCAACTTTATGAGGGGTATGCGTTGTATTTTATTTTTGCGACCCCATCAACATAATTCCAAAGAGATGGCATCGCAGCCGTACGTCTTGGATTTTGTTCATTTAACTATTCTAAGCACATGGTAACTAAACCATTCTGCTTTCATGCATCTAATCCACATATGCGAAATGCCACTAAAGGATCAGATTCGCTCTTAAAACTGAACGAGCCCAAGTTCCAGTAGAGGTACTATCTGTGGCGAATAAGGCAAGAGAGAGAAAGAGAGAGAGAGAGAGTCATACTCTATAACACAGACCATTGAATAAATGGTGATTAAACTAATATAAAAAAATCAATACAGAAATATCCACAGATTTGGGACTGCTGTTTTCTCCTTTCTATTTGCATGTCAAGATAAAAACAAAACATAGAAAGTCCTGTGTATCTCATCCCATAAATTAAAAAAAGAAAAAAACGTGACTTGGTGACAATGTAATAATACTATGAGGTCTCAGTCTCCTCGGGGAAAAACTATTATAAATATCGCGGACCTTTCGACATCATCGATCCTACGACTATCAGTGGTTCTAGGCGGCGTAGAGTGCGAAGTACAAGTCATCAACCAAATGGCCCGGTATTTTGCTTTTTATTTTGGCTCACCTAAACATATCTTCTGTAAATCGATGGAGACTAACGACCATCTGTAGGCCTAAAATACTTTCTCTTGCCAACGATCGATACTGAATCAAAGCCATCGTACTAAGCATATATCGTGATCTTCATGCATCTCAGTAACTGGCGAACGAAATCTCGGTTTTACGTGATCTGCTGACTTAATTAATTCTCTTCCGTACACAGACTGATAACAGGAGAATGACATTCCTATTTGGATTTATTGATACTAGAGTAATTCGACTTTCTAAGTATTAATATGCGTTGAAATATTTAATATATTTGGTATCAATTTATTAAAATAAACCACATCGGTGTACTCAGCGCTTTGTCCGTGGATTTGCATGAGTAAGCCCGTGTTCATTGTGCGATGTACTGGCTCAAATCTCCTGTCATTCGAAGCAACAGACGCGATATAATTATATCAAATTACAATTAAGTGTATCCCTGACAACATATGCTGCCAAATTTGTAACGAATAAAGGCTGGAGTATTACGCCGTGTCAGGTTTCATCACGTAAGTGTGTAACTGTGTGTGGACGCCGTGTTTCATATCGCAATACAAGTATTGGTTCCGTAACAATAATCGAAAAACACCAGCCTTTCTTTTGATGTACAATACACTATATGCTAGAGAAATTGACGCTACTGCAAAGTTAATTCAGTACATCGTTATGTGATTTTAATCCACGCCGTTCATTCAAAATGAAAATTGCCGTATAAGCACCAATGTTAAATCATGATATCTTTTAAAAAAAAGTAATTTTTCAATTCCACTCCAATTAAATTGTCAGTTTTTCAATCTCCGTTGTACACGAGCTTCACATTTCATAGAGTTCACTGGGGAATATTACTAGCCAACCCGGTCATTCATAAATCGAAATATCGAGAGGTTGAAATGAGTAACCGTCGCAGTGATGAATACGTGAATCGAGCGGCTACGGGAAAAGTGATGCCTGGCTGAATATAGCATGATATTTTATTCAACTTGACTCACCCTGAAAGTGAATGACGTCTGGTCAATTGCAATATCCCAAATCGCAGGTCGTTACAGTGATTTTCATATAACGAACGCCAATTACGCCGCGATAAAATTATATCATTAATGTGAGACGTTAAAAGGCCACATCCGCGATATGAATTCGAGTTGTATGAGAAAAAAAATGATTAAAAGAACCTTGGAATGGTGGTATTGAATCACGTTGTTCAGATCGCCAAAAGCACTAAATTAACGGAGTCGATAAAATTCGAAACGCAGGTGTGTGTGATCACATGGTATATTTGCAAAGACGATACTCAAATATGCATTCTCACTAACCATAACGTGTGAACTCAACCAATGAATGAATACATGATGCGCACACGCGCCTCTCCGTAGAACTGGAACCAGATGATATTAACGACGTGATATAGACTTGAGGGAGGGGGGCGTCTGTTTCATTTGATGGATGTATATTTTGACACCGTAACGATAGCCAAATATTAGACAATATTTGTTTGTGGCGGGCGTAGTAGATTCGAGCACTGCATTGAGTTAATTTTATTATAATTTGTATGCAACAAGCATCTTTCTTTGAATACGGTGGCCGAGGAAAGCAAAGATAAATTGAATTCAGGATGACATTATGGTTGCACTGGCATCTTCTTCTAAAGTCTCCATCATCATGCAAGTCGATATTGTCTCACATTTACGTGTCGGTCACTGAGATGAGAACGCAACAAAATACTCAAGAACTGTGCACAACCTAAATCGGGATGACGCATAATGCTATGATAAAGGTACCATCGTCGCAATCAGCATCCAGTGAATCACTTTGTGGTATAAGTCTCGTATGGATAAATTGCAACCAGTATGCGTAATATCAGGCACACGGAATAACATATAATTGCGTCATCCTTACTACTTTACCACAAACGATAGCAATTAAATCATGATTACTCGGCAAATGTGTGTCGGCAACACAAATAATGAATTTAACATTGCGCCATTATGGCCGCGCGAGGTGATTATGCGCAACATGTCGTAGTATGAGCCGCAGGCGAGGTGCCCATATTATCGGTCTGAAGAATTATTTTATCATTATTCTAAAATACCCTCAGTGGCGCCAAACGGAATGGTGCTACTTTGGTGTAAATGCCGCTATTTTATTATCGGTCTGAAGAATTATTTTATCATTATTCTAAAATACCCTCAGTGGCGCCAAACGGAATGGTGCTACTTTGGTGTAAATGCCGCTACGCATACCTGTCTCCGCTATACGCACCTTGCGCATTGATACGCCTGTGGCGCAATACATGCTTTTGGCGTGATTTGTGTATGTACGTGTTTCGGTTTTACCTAATTGATTATTTAAATGAACTTTGTGAAAGGTGACTAAATACCGGTGTTATTGCGTTTAGAAGAGGCGAATCATACATCGTGTCATCGTGTTTTATTCTTGGCAGTTCTAGGAAGTAAGATACAAAACCCGACATTATATCTTCGAGCTAATTTCGGATGATCTGGTCTGATAACGAGGATTTGTATTACTGAGTGCAACACGTGTATGCCTCGAGTGTGGCCCTATATCAAGGGGTTTCAAAAGCCTCGTTTTAAATTGCGACATCAGTTTTGTTACGACAATCGTTAGATTAAAACAAGCCGCCCGACGTTCTTTGTCGTATGACAAACTTCAATAGTCATCTATGCGGCACGAATCCTGCAATTGACGTGAAAGATTAAGGTTTCAAGAGTAAGCCTTACCGACCAGCTCTGAATGTTATTACGGAGGATGCGACGTACTGCTGGTGCTGGCCAGTGGAGATTGTAGCGATGTGAGTGCACAAGAAAGAAGTCACAGAATGTACATGTACCATAGAACACAAACGGAGCGTAACGTAGTGCAATGCAGCGCCGACGCCCCTTTACAAAACGGATAACTTAGTACGGTGAATATAACCAGTTGTACTAAAATGTGTTTAACGGGTGGCGGTGGATCGGCAGTTAATACAACTACAATGAAATCATCCCAGTATGTGCACTTTCTGGAGAATATATCCTCGTTCTAATTCCATTTAAATATATCGTTACTATACAAATGACAATAATGACTAAAGAACATCTCTAGACATTAATTGATGGTACATACAGCCCTCGATTGCAGATGTAGTTAATCAACCTTTATGTACTCGCCTTGTTACGTAGCACGCACGGGTACATCAGTCCGGCGCAGCTGATTTGATTCCAATCTAATTAGACTCGTTATAAATCGTACACAATACAGTTTCATTACGTAGCCGGGTGTAATTATTTCGTCAACTCTCAATATTCTTCTCATATGTACCTTACATTACGTAATAATAATAGAATGAGTGCTTACACTATTCTGGGCGGGAGACCGTACTCATACTTTCTGCACGATTCTGACACGGGGGGTCAAACTGAGTGTCGTATGACGTCATACACGATGCTGTTCCGATCAACTCGAATGTTAGAGCTTCATATTTATTATATCGGCTTTTCTACCGTGGCGGTTGTCAAGGGCACGGTCTAACGTGACGTCATTAAATATGTATCGGGCATCTTCATAATGTTTGTGGGTGTCTGAAGATTACCTTGTTCGTATCGTACTGGAAAGTTCAGACAACACACCGAAATAGATCTTAGTCATATGTATACGGATGCTAAGAATCCCCGCATAAAACGACCCCAGATTGAATGCCGGGATTTTGTCCGTCTACGCATGCGTTTCTTACTATGCATCTCTTTCGATTTGGGTAGTATAGACGTATGTGAAAAAATAGAGATTAAACTTTGTTCTCAATCAATCAATATATTTCATGATTGGTTTGTTTCAGTGGCGCACTTTTATAGTAGACGACATTACCCCTTTTATCCATGCCGACAACGAGTTCAAATAGACATGATGGCAATCTGACTGTCTTTGCTTTATTTAGGTTTACCGTGAACATCAAGCACCGTCCGTTAGAGGCATGTTCGCATAGTCCAACACAACCCAAATAGTAACACGCCTAACGTTTTTTTTTTGTTTTTTTATTCTCTTCTAGCTACGTGTATGTAGATTTCCGAAGCGGAAATGACGTCAACGTTGTTGCTGGGAATTTTGCTGGCGGTCGGACTTTCTGTCCAAGCCAACGCTAATTACAAACAATTAGAAAAACAAAAGGCATTGTTAGATGCCCTGGAATATGTCGAGAAAGCAATGCAGGAGCAGGAAGTGTCGGAAGAAAGTGTTTTTGAAAACGACCAGTTAGAAGAAACGGGCGTAGACGATTACGAGACATACATAGAAGAACATTGGCCAGAGGAGGCGCCTGAAATTAATCTTCATCCGGGTCCACCGATTAAAGAACCCCCTTTTAATAATGTGGGGAAATGGGAGTATATGAACGAGGCTGAGCGCTTCCCTATTGGAGGCGCATATCCTGCATATGAGATTGAGTCAGAATTCACCAACATTCTACCCGTGAACGAGGTCGTAGAAAGTGAGTATATATTTAATTATTGCACACAATCATCGCTCCGCGTTCCGTTAGATATAATATGGGACCCATAGTGACCTATGAAACACGAGTAAAATACATTGTTTCCACGACATGCGCTGAGCGACGACTGTGTCGCTTCAGGATAGCAGCCTACTCTTAAAGCGGGAGGGTCGTCACCTGCGCACGCGTGGGAATTGAGTCCCAAGCGACGATAACAACACACGCTAAAACGCAAAGGCTCATTGGTAGACGCTTGTTTGTAAACAATGACACACTATGGCCATCTGACGCATGCGCAGGTAACGACTCAGTCGCCCGCTTTAACTGAACATATATTACCCAGAATTTATCTAGTTTGCAATAAAATGTTCTTCAGGTCAATATAAGGATATTAACTCAAAACTAAAAAATGTATGGCATCAGCTTAATTTTCGAGAAAATGGTTGGCAGTATTATAACCCTTTTACAATAGATTCCTGTAGCAGGGATAATATGCCACATCATGAAATATAGACTGGTGACAGGCTGAAATTAATAAATATTTAATATTGATAACGATGGGGTACTTATTGTTGTCCTGAATTATTTAAAAAATCTGGGTTTTAAAAAAATGTTAAAAACTGTTATTTTTCTTTAACATAATTTTTTTGTTGTGTTCTATGGGATTGTTATAAAAATATAATTGTTTGAAAAATAATACTGGAACAAGTTCCTAAGTAAACGTCACCGTCACACATGAAAAACATGATATTTTGGTATGTGACGGGAATATAGCTCTATGATTGTACATAATAAATCAATGAACATTGTCATGCGATTTATGATTTACTACACATTTTAAAGTTGCAATATGAACGCGATTGTGAATTTTTAGTATTTTTCTTTGATAATGTATATCGATGGATACATTAAATTATGTTTTATCATGAAATGAAAACGCTGTTCTTGTAAACACAATGAGTATTCGTTCAATGAAACAATGAAATTTACATATGACGCATGCGCACTGGTTGTTTTGGTACGGCCAGTTACAATCACTGCACATGCGCATTGTTTGTTCTTATTTTTCAGCTAACGAACACTGTTGTATGTCATGCAAACACGTTTAGGTTATGATAAATGAAAATTCGACTTCGTCCAGAGTATGGAATATCCAACAACATTAAACAAAATATCTTTTCGTCCATATTGCATCGTTAAAGGTGTTATCGAAAAAAACGGATGGTAAAATTGTTCACAATCTACAACTCAAATTGTAAGTGTGGTTTTTCCTTCAGATGTTCCATTCTGTGGAGTAACTAAAGAGTACACTAACATACCGGATTATCATAGTAGTTTTATCATGCGGCACCAAAAACGCATGTCTTGCTAGAGCTTCGCAATCAATCAACTCATGAGAGCTCTCTCCCATGACACATGCGAACCGGAAATTGTTTTTTTTTCTTCTGTTTTTTAATGCTTGGGGGCGTACATTTGTTGTCGCCCGTGAAGCACACACTTGACTCGATATACTCATCGATTTTGATTATCTGTTTAATCGTGTAGCAGTGTTTTCCGCATATCTAACCCAGAGGCTCGGTCTTCTTACAGCCATAACTAACACGTTTAAATTAGTTTGACTGCCTGTATGACCCAGTCACGTGACCAGTATCACAAGGCTGTGACAGTTAGACCAATTCAAAATATTACATATTATTTGACCCATGGCCAAACTCATTCGTTAAAACTTAAGTAGGCTACACTGGAATGAAATGAAATAAAATGAATGAATGATAGAACAGTGTTTTAGCCAGTCCCGTTAACCCGAATTGTCTAATTAAAGGTTAATCCATCGATTAATAATTATTGTGAACAACATGTAACTATAATTCTAACAACCTTGTTTATTCGATACATATATATATATATATATATATATATATTAGGGATATTAACTATAAGGTCAGTTCCATTAGCTACCCAATACGGGCAAGTTGAGACGAAATGTTTAATGAAGAATGAAGAGAAACGAACAATAAAGTATGCAAATCTAACGGCTCAGTTGAAATGGCTAATGATATTTATGTTTTTTTTAAAAAATAAGTTAAATAATTGTAAATAAATCATAACAAGAAGTCAAATTTATATTGAACAGCAGGGAGATGGAACAGCAGTGTGTAAGCATATTTTGAGGCAACGCCATTTTTTACAAGCCATAGCATCTTTAAATAACCACTTCAACCTCGCTGTTTCACTTTTAATGAGACAAGAAAAATAACAGCGCCCGATGGTGATACATTTTGTCATGGGATCTTCATCAATAATGATCCCGGTTGCTCCGGCAACGTGGTTTCTCCCCGGGGTATCCTCAAACGAAGTTATAGATAATGGCACTCATGATTATGTCAATGAGTTTCTGATCTCTAGGGGCAGAGATAGATGGAACTACGTATTCACGGGACGTAAAATCTCCAGATAGTTTGTGTCATGAAACACATAAAATTTTTCTGATGCTATTCATGACTAAAACGAATAAATAATAATAATAAATCCACAAATAAATACATATCCTAATCTTTGATGTGTGTAATCAGATTAGTCGGAAAGTGTTTCGAGCGATCTTGCAATTTTTATGGAATTGTTCTCATGTGCTTTCGTGATCGCAGGGGAATAAAACGTGACTGGCTAACACGGTGATGATCAGACATGACAGCCGCCATGTATGAAAATGAATCGCACTTTAAAGCGGGGGAATCGTCACCTACGCATGCGTCAGGTGACCATAGCGTGTCATTGTTTACAAACAAGCGTCTACCCATGAGCCTTTGCGTTTTTATTGTGTGTTGTTATCGTCGCTTGTGACTCCATTCCCGCTCGGGCGCAGGTGACGACCCACCCGCTTTAACGGTTTTTAATACCATGTATGTTTGAATACACCATTTGTGTAAACTACTCCCTCATATTGTCCGAATTCATCGACGTCTCCGCAATTTGTTACTTGTAGGTGTTGAGGAATTTGACGAGGAGCCACCGGCCAGTGTATTTGACATCGATAAGGAAACGCTGGAAAAGATGATGCAGGTTGCTATGGATGAAGGAATGCTGGGAGATTTTGAACCGCAAGACAGTGTCGACGAGATCGATGACTTCGAACTCGAGCCAGAATCGTCCGAGCAAGAATTCGAAGAATCGATCGTAGACGAAGTCAACGACGAACCAACTAGTGAAGAGGAGGCTATGCTGGAACAGTTGACAGAAGGTAATTATAGAGTTGAATTGAAATGGTAAAGAATTAAATTGAATTAAAATAAAATATTAAGATATTAAGTCTAATTAAATTGACTTTCGGTCTTTAGTATACCTTTATTAAGATAATAATCCCTGGGCTCTGAAATAAATGAGCAGAAAATTATTCACGAAAAGCTATTTTCACTAAGACTTCCCCTGCAGTCTCGTGTTTTGAACTTGAATACTGAAATGCATTATTTGGAATAATTGTCCTAAATCGCTTTCGTGTCCTGAAATATAATCCGATGGCCCGACCGCAAAAATCAGCTTTGGTTTCTGTAATCGATATTCGGTGGTGAATGGCGAGAGTGTATTTGTTAATATCAAGTAGCTCAGTTAAGGGAATTTGTATTTCTAAATTATCTAAAAGCTCACAAAAGTAGGGATTGTTTAAATACAAATAGGTGTAATTATTTAACTTGAAAAAAAGATCGTTAACTCTCATTTTTCACATAAAAACTAAATAAAAAAATAAGTAAAACGAAACAATTCTGGTTCTTCAAAAAGTATAAATCGTATCTTTTTTTTAGTAAGGTTGAATACCTTACTCGAAAAAGGAACAATACGATGTGAACTTACACAAAATGTTAAATCCATCGGCGTAAAGAAATTAAAATGCTGTTAACGTAACTATGACTACACTACATCCTGTGTGTAAAAGATTACTCGAAAGAATCAGGTATCACGTAACAGGGCGCCTCAAGTCTGTCATCGTGATTTAACCATGTGATGTGTATGGCAACCGCCGATTATAACATACGAGAACACAAAATGTCTATAGAAAAAAAAAACGAAAGAAAATACTCACCTCATCAAAAACTCTGAGTTTGATATTATTGATACCGAGATAGCAGTGATTTGTGTTATTATTTTTTTTAAAAAGTTCCGTAATTTCCGGAGTATGAATTTCCGGCCACGTCGAAGTATAGATTTCCGAACTACTGATTTTATAATAAGATTACCAGTTAACGCGGGGATTTACACCATTTACATTTTGCCTCAATGTCCACATACATTGAAGAGGGCGGTCGTGAAATGAATTTATCTTAGTTCCAAAAATATAGAAAACTATCTAGAATTCTGTTGAGTGGGTACAACGTGATCATATCCTACTTCGGCGTGTGAAGTGCTTGACTGATGATATCAGACACGAATTACATAAAATGTCGTTGTAATAGCACAACAGAAGTAGTTAAGAATCTTCAGTCCTCAAATCAAAGCTTTTGACTTTATTCGTCCACGTATTTTAATTTTAATAGTTCCGAAATACATGCATGCGAATGCATGAATGATACAAAATGGTCATCATCGCGTAGGTTCATTTCTGTTTTTTTGACATCGAATATAAATATTAATATAGTCGTAGGCAAAGCAAAGCCCTAAACGTACGATGTATACTGTGAGAGAAAATCGATTTGCTATATTTGAAATACTCGATATTATTGTGAAATTAAATAAATTAATATGTTCGATACCCTAAACTTTTGTTTCTATGGTAACGACTGCATATCTTGGCAGCTGCTCCCAGATGCATGGTCGATTTATACGCACAACTGATAATACAATGAATAAGGGATATCACTTCATTGTATGCGCCAAGAACTAACAGAGTTAACATTGTATCTCCTTGTCACTTGTGTAATATGCACACTGTCATTCAATATGCCGAATCTGCAAAGTAGTAATGCTCTTTTTGCGGTTACTCGATCACCTCCTGCGTGGGCGGGGAACGCACTCAGAATGAGAAACGAGAATGTCAGCATGCAATAACCATCGCATAAATTCAATTGCAGATCTTGGACTGACTGACACTTACGTGTGCCGTTTTCCCATCGATATTTGAACAGTCCACTAATATATATATACATTGCAGATATTCTGCTTTTTAACCTCCTACAATCCACTCAAACATACCCTTACTTACTGAACTAGCCAACGCAGGGCGCCATGATAATGCATACATCTTATTTTTTCTCCAACAACGTTGTCTACAGTAAAATCGTTATTAATGTATCCGTTCTAGTTGTCAATTAATGGTGACTCATTAAATCGTAATTGGTTTTCTAAAACGTGTCATCACCCCCGGGATAAAGTGACACATGATAACATTAACGCATTTACTATATCCGTGTCCATCCATATGATGTCATCATGATGCATATTCCAACATCTCAGCCATGCACTAAGCACTATGGACCACCAAAAAAAGTATTTGTATATATATATATATATATATATATATATATATATTTGTGTAATATGAATACATGGCTATGTATACCTTTAGTGTCTAGTGATTGTATTATCCAGCCTTCCTGATGTCATCAGAGTCTGTGTGTACTTGGATTGCTATATGTTGCGAGGACAAAAATACAGATATATAGCTACTTCCAAGGACATACACACCTTCCGAGGACCTTTTTCATAGTCCTCGGAAAACATAATTTATATTAATAGTTAATTCGATTATTAATACGTTTTGCGTAGCTTAGGTTTAGTATCGGGGGAAAGTATGGTTCACGTTATATTAATATTAATATAATTGTACCATACCTTACCCCGATACTAAACCTAAGCTTCGCAAACATTTCTATGTTCAGTCATGGGATATTCAACTCTTTTTTAATTATACTTAATTAATTAAAATGCAATTCTCCATTGTATTGCATTGTAATTGAGTTTAATTAAACTCCAATTAAAACGCAACCCTATATAGGAACGCGTTTTAATCGAGTTCATATCGCAACTATATTAAAAGTTAATTCAACTATATTAAAAGTTAATCCAATGAAGTCCTCGGAACATATAGCAATACAAGTATGTGTGTGTGTTTTTTTTTCTATTTCGCATGTGTATACCAATGCGTTCAGTATTTATCCGAACTATTGACCATGTTTATGCTGTGGTATAACTACTATAGCCTGTAGAATACAGTGCACCGCTTCTTGTTACTGGTTTATACTCAGTATTCTGTAATAATAGGGCAAATCTTGATTAAATTGTGCATACGATTCGTCGAGTGCAGGCGACGAACCGTTCTTGACACAATTTTGCAATAGAATAAAACCGCAGGAACGGTACCATTCACCAGGGAACTATTAATAAACAAATTTAATAAGGATAATTTTAATTGAAAGACAAAAACTACTGCAGCATTTGAAATACTTGCTCAAAAATTGTAGTATAAAATAACACTAACTACAAAATAGTATGAAATAATATTAGAAAATAATTTTTAAAAAAGTCTGTCGGTGTCATTCTGTAATACATTTAGGTCAGAAGTGATTTTAAAAACAACAATTATATTCCAAATAAATAAACACAAATATGGCTCTTTATAAAAAAAATTGCAGGTGTCAGTCCTAGCCGAGAGTAAAGTTGCCAGTAGAGGAAACATATAAATTTACGTTTCTGTAAATCTCGTTGCCGATAGTGACATTTCCTGTCTCTCAAGTAAAACCCAACATTTCAATATCCGATGCCAGCAATAAACATTCGTCTGATTGTTTTAACACACCTCCGATCTGCATTGTATTTACAATACAACCAAGAAGATGATGATGAATTAAATTGAAATTGATATCATCGATAATCGTTTGCAGCTATGCTCAAGTAATGACTTCGTCTCGAGGACATGTCGCCGTGAATAAATTAATGAATTGAACGATTCAACGGCGCTAGAACCCGTGACATACGTAAACCGGGGTTTGATTTCAGATTTGAAGACTGTTCTTGATCAATAAGCGAAATTGAAATCTCTACCCCGCTTTTCAACATTCCACCTTTGAATTCATACTTTTCATACTTCCAAGGCATGGTAACCGTTTCATCGTCGAGTCAGAACTCCGTTGCTGACAACGAACGTCCTAGGGCATATACAAAATCACCCCATCCAGTTGTAATATTTATCTTTTTCTAAAGCGGTGCACTGTAAAAGAAATTATGCAAAAAAATACGACCAGTGGCAGAAAGAAAATTACTATTGCATTATATTATCGTTTTTACATCGGCATATCTCATTTGAGGACAAGAATGATTATTTTGAAAAGCATCGCCATTTTGGAGCGGAACAATTAAGGGCGTATGGGATATGATTTATCGTGTCAGAAATGTGTATACAATGTGAATTGTAACGCCCATGCTTATAAAACAGCGATCTAGTACTCGCTTTCCATGTACTAGTGTATATATTTATTTATGCCTCGATTTGATACCCAAGTCACGTGCTTTGTGTATCATGATATACGTATACGACAGGTCAATCAATCTCCAAGTCGTCATTAAAATGAAACAGCGCAGGTATATACTTAGTGGTTCGTTGACGGTTTGATGGTTTGAATGAAAGATCAACTACGTTGATATTTTTTTTATCGTTCCTGGAATCCTCTTCTATTTCGCAAGGTTGCTTTCGGTATTGGTGGTGCCGTACAGTTAACCGTTTAATACTCCACCATAAAATTTGGGGGGGGGGGGTATGTCAAACAAGTAGGTTACAAATCAACTGATTTTTTGGACAGGTACCTTTATGTTCTATGGCTTCCTCTCAATTAATTACTATCGTATTAGGAAAAAAACACTCCTGTGGATTGAAAAACGAATTTTCCTGTTTTTCTGACTCAATTTTGTTTCTCCTGCCAGTGCATTTACTTACTCCACGTTAAGTAGCCACTTCGTTCATATTTTATTCATAAAACGTTACAAAAAACACCTTTCATGAGCGCTGGCGTAAAATTCTTCTTCATTTATGAATATCAATTTCTTTAAAAAATGTATTTCAAAGTCATTAGCATGTAAAAAAAATCGTTTATAAATGAGTGATGCATGGATGTATTTATTCACACGGCATCAATGCTCAGATGTGACGTTTAAAAGATATTTGCTCGAGGCAATTAGTGACGGGAAAAAAACTCATGATTTACTATCCCATGTGTGCCCCATCGTTATCGTGAAAATCAAACAGTAAATATTAATGTATATTTAGAAAAAAAAACTTGTTCGTTGTTAAGTCCACCCGTACCTTCGTCCATGGTCCACCTTTACCCGTCAACAGTGACAATTAACCCTTTGTTTCAGTTGTCCTTTCCCTGAAATCATAAACCAGGTAAATAAAACATAGCATGCAATTGACGGTGATGATGATGATGATAAATTTCATTTTGTAGAAAGAAATGGACATGTGACATTTAGAATTACAAGTTCGTCAGCCACTGAGAATGTGTGAATCGTTACAAATCACCCTGATGCAGCCTGAGTGGAAACACTCGCCGTGCGCAACAAATGACTGCCCTATTACTAATTCACGTTGTGTGCGGGAATTGTTGGAAAACGGATAATTTATTTCAACTTGTGACCATTTATTACTTCTTGACAGTCATAATTCTTAATACACATCTAGATCCACCAAGATATAATTTGATGGAAATCTAGAGAGACCCCCTCCAGTCAACCCCGCTGTTACGCATTAGACAAGAGCATGATGGATTATATACACAATTAATAGCTATAAAAAAAATATATGGATGTTGTTGTTTCCATCGCAAGCCAATAACGATAGAGTTATTGTCGAGTTGATCCCCGTGGGTCTTTCTTGCTACGTGACTTGTAGTTTAATTTCAACAGAAATATCCATCCATAAATTCACTAACCATTGTCGATGTCATCGTTCTTTTAGAAATCGCTACCCGGGTTCATTGGCATTGTTTAATCATAGACAGTATAGTAGGATACTGTCTATGGTTTAATCAACTGCGCTTGCTCTTTTTCAGATTAATATGCCACCATGTTCACCAGTCGAAATTCTACATCGGGATCGGAAAATTTAAATCTCGCTGACTCTTTTCGCTGTGACACTAACACGGCCGATCGCTTTGTTGTCTTGGTGCACACGACACTTAATGTTACAGAGAAAACACGCCTGTTTCTAATATTGAACTGATCTCCATGTAATGTACATCACCATACATACACACACATATATGTAACACAAAAAGTGATGTACTGTTCAAAACTAGCCATCGTCACGCTAAGAAACAAACGTTGATATAATTCAGAAACAGACGTTGACATGTATAATGCCAGATCTTCGCCGTGACTTTAGCTACCAGTGCAATTTTGATGAAGACGCCAGAACCAATGAAATCCATCACTACAGAGCAATATAATAACATGCACTATATTTGACAAACCACCGCATCTGTTATAGACCCGTGTTTGACATTCGCATATATTCCGAATTTGCCACTATTCCTGAACAATTTAGAAATATAAATCACCGTACGTCAAGCTACTGGTTACAAGCACCAATATAGCACTGGATTTGCATTCATGTATTCGCTATGTAAAGCGCGGTGGTCGTCGCGCAGCGCGTGTTTGAATTTCATGTAAATAAACAATGTATTTTTACACGCGTTGTATACGTCGCTATGAGTCCCATATCGAACAGGACGCGGCACGACGACTGCCGTCCTTTAATTATCAATTGATGATTAACAATTTTTTATAATTTGACAGAAATAATGGAGGAGGTAAGAGCAGAAATAGGCAAAGAAATTGGTAAAATCGCCGAAGATGCTATTACAGATTTGACAGATGAGGTCACGGCGCAAGTTGTAGAAGAGCTCAAGAACGGAGAAATTGGATTTAACGACATCGACGAAGCGTTTGGTCAGGAAGAAGGAAGCGAAAGCGAGACTGATGAAGACTATTTGCAAGAATTCTGGGAAGCGAGCCAGTCTGAAGAAGAGAAGGTGCCAGATAAACGTGACGAGGAATACGCATTCGGTGCCTGGGAAGATTCCGCGAACGAGGACAGAAATGTAGATCAAATCAACGAGGTTGAGGTTCTGAATGACATGGAAGAAGAAGGCGATGATTATGATGATGATAACGTTGGTGATGAAAATGACGTCACGTGGAAGGCATTACAATATTTATACGGACCATATTTGGACAATGTCAAACAGGAATTGATTAAATACGATTCGGACGAGGACGTTAGCAACGAGATTGCCAACGGAATCTATTTGGAGGATTCGGAATTTGACGATGAAAGTTACCGGGTCGAGGAAGATAATGAAGAAGAGGAGTCGGATTATGATTACAGTACACAGGGAGAAGGTACGTCGAGTGCAACTATGATGAAATTATATGCTAGTAGTGTTTTTAAGATGAAATAAAAACGAGAATGTCTAATTTGGTCTACAGTACGGAGTATCGAACATATATAGCATATGTAATAGATATATGTACTGACGCCGTTGTTCGAGAGAAAGAGGTACATCATTGGTAGTTTTGGTGCCACGTAACTGAAATAACAAATAACAGGGTGCTAGATTTACTTGTCAGATGATGGCCTACATGGAATGCGAATTGTTGAATGACGCCCTCTAAGATCATCCTCGCCTTCAACGGTCCACCACATCGAAAATGTCACGTATTAAAATGACGTATGCATATTTTGTGCTGATTCATAAAATAGTTTCGCGTTAATCATAGAGGTATTCTTCTGTCAAACCCAACATAAAGTCTTATTCAGGCATCGAATCGCACAAACATCATACTTATTATGGCTCTTGTCGTACATTTACATAATAAATAATGTGAAAACCAATGTTCGAGGTTTCCTGCAGAGCCTGAGGATACGTCACGTTCTCTTCCGGTTTAGGCGTTCTCGTTGAGAGCGAGAGCCGTGCGACTTGTCTATGACTATTATCCACCACCCTACCCCGACTTTTTTGCATTCTCTGCCGCCATTGCGTCCACTGCTTTAAATGCCATCGGATATGTATGAATTGGTATATGCCATATATCAAACGCAACAATTGTCGAAAATGTCATCCGGGTCAGAATATCTGTTGATACTACACCCTAGCCAACCTCGAACAGGGTACATTTCGTACTAGGTTTGTTTAATTGTTTGTTTGATTGAGCACGGTCACTCGGACCTTAGGGTTGAGCATGCTCCAAAACAGGTTCCGAAATTTGTTGTATGACAGAGGATTTTAGGTTGTCGAAATAACAAATAAATCATTTAGGTTCCGATACGCATATTTTAACCCGTAACTACTGGGTTAGGTTCATGTCTCAGTTTATATTCGATTAATTCAGTAGAGTGTGAGACGCCGCAGACGTTGCGCCACGTCATGTTCGATATGGAGCCCATGAGACGTGCGTATACAACGCGTGTAAAATACACTGTTTGTTTACGCGAGATTTCATCGCGATCTGCTGCGATCCGAGACTGCGGTGCTTTGAACCTTGCACACGGTACTTTCTAATGCGTCTTACATTAGAAGGCATGGGCTAATCAGTGAGATGCACTGGGGAGCGTTTACGTTCTCTGATAAGAAGTCATTAACTATGGCGTCATTGGGTCGATTACCTTGTTTAAACGCCATGTCTTTGTCATACATTAACGATAACAAGGGACTCCAAGCTACAGATATTTGTCTTAGCCAGCGATATCAATTACACCGTCTGAATATCCTGGCAATAAGTCAACCATAAATGCAAACGTTATTCAAATGACAACGAAAACTACGTTCGGTCGCTCGCCCCCTTCCCCCGATTGTTTTCGAGCAATATTTACTGAAGTATCTCTATACTGATGATAACGATAAAAATAACTGTCTCTGCCGTCGGATTGATTCACCATAGTCATCCAATTTAACCATCACCCGTACATTGTACTCGATAATTCGTCTTAATTATTTCTCTAATGTGTTGTGCTACAGGGGATGTTTAGGGATCGTCTCAAAACATTTGACTGGCGCGCTTCCTGTTTATATATATATACGTGTGTGTTATTTTTAAAGATTGAATCAATTTGAATTGATTGAATATTTGTTTTTGTTTTTCAAAAACTGTAAAACATATCATTTCACATTGGTATTTTTTTTCTTTTTTTCATTTACATTTTCACACATTCGTCGCGTAGTCCTGTTTTGGTACGTCTCATATCAAATCTTCATCGGTGAGATGCACCATGAATAAAGATGCTGTAAACTCAAATCTCCGGGACAGTTGAACTAACGAGATGATCCCTTAGAGCTCACTTACATTTGTTTCAATCACAGAAAGTCGAAATACTTGGATAGGATTAGGTAGAAGTCATCATTAAATACGCCAAATGATTCGCGTGGATGATTGTCGAATGGGGTTTGTCCAATCAGTGCCCGGCGCCTCGTTGTTAGGTATACTTGTACATTGCATGTTGGCGCCTGTTGCCCCTTATACATACGTTACAGAATATATAGAAATGTCTGTATTCAAGTTCCACAATAATCGTCACATAATGTGCACAGCAGTTGACCGAACAATAAGACAGCGTATTTGTATGAATGTGTGTACTTTCCAAACGCAGACGCGCCACGGTAGACGCGAATTAGCATATTATCTATGCAAAGACCGAAAAACGTGTCGGAGCAAATCTGACACGGGGAAATTAAAGCCTATTGTCTATGTTTGCTTGCATGTATGTGTGTGATATTACAAAATTACAAAATACGTTCCAGCTACGTTTTCCCTCCCAGTTAATTTCCTATATGTTTTCTTATTGGTTAATTAGACGCGTACGAAGAAATGTACGAGGAGGTAGTTGCAGAGGCTGTTAAAGAGCTTGAAGACGAGGCCGCTGATACCGCCCGGAAGATGGTAGACGAGATGCTACTTAGTCTCGTCCGGGAAGAAGAAAGAGAGGAGCAGGAGGAGGCGGAGGAGGAGGCGGTGGCGGAAGCAGAAAGGGAACGACTCGCGGAGCAATATGGTGGGTAAATTCAAAAACGCATGCGAAGTACATTTTTTTTGTAATAAACGTGTTTTTGTTTTGTTTTTTGTTTTTAACCAGCATTATCCTCCAACAATATGGCTGGTGAATATTCCCACGAGTGGTGGGCGGACAACGCATGCGCGGTTAAAACGAAGGCAAGTCACGTAACAACAACGTAATGGTTGAATGCAATTTCCCAGATTTGTGTCTCTAAATCAATTGCTACCGTAAATGCATCAACATCAATTGTAATTCAAAATAAACGTCGGTCAAATCTCGCCAAATGCGTGTTTATGTAGATACGATCTTAGCGATGATCGATGATTGAATGTGATGCATGTCTAGTATGACTGGAACGATGCATGTATCATGGCTGTTCGCTATAATCCCGACTCTGTGTGTTCTTAGCCGGGGTCTTCGATCGTAAAAATAAACACGCCAATTTACTTGATGAACGCGGTTGTATTTTGGGGTGATCTCGCAATTGACATTTATCACCAGGGGACCAGCATGCGATGGGCTTCGCGTCTCCTGGGTATCGCAATAATTCTGTTACCGAGTGTACGTATGTGAATCCCCTTCATATTTTGGATTGAAGTATATAAGCGATGATATTAACGCTTGACCGTTTTTGTTTTTTTGTGATGAGCACGTTTTATGACAGATAATTGGCTGGCGCTGTAATTGAAGTTCTTCGAAGCTACTCCTGGTCATATCGTTTGAATGTCTATCAAAAACATCATAGTGTACGAGAAGTAAATTGGCGCCCCCGATGTCAATATTGCCAAATTAGAGTTAGCTTAAGTACCCATACGAAATGTGATCATTGTACTTGACATGTTAACCGTGTACTATTAATATCGACGATCTTCTTCGATGAAAAAAATGTATTTGCTGTCGGTCTATATTACAATAGCCGGTGGTTTTGATCCTCGTTGACAGATCTCATTAATCCGCACTCTCATTAGGCTCGTCTAACGGTCGGACGGTTATTGGACATTTTGGTTGGCCAGCACGACTCGTGTAGTTGAATACGACATGCGGTTAATAGTTAAGAGCCCTCGTCGGGTTACTAGTGCATTCAAGAGGAAGTCGATAAAAGCTTAAAACCCCAGGCCGGTAATGATGATGACATAAGACACAATGGGAAATAAGGAACCGTCACAGTGTATTTTATCGAAACCACCGAGACGGAACGAACGACAAATGTTTGAACTACTCAACGTTGCACTCTTCGAATGACCCCGAAGATGCCGGGGGTAACAAAGTGTATTTGTCCACTAATTCGGGGACTCGATGTGCAACTGAACTTAATACACATATTACTTGAATGTTAGTATGTACAGGTGTTTCAATTAATGAGCGTTCATTTCCTTCATCGTTATAGTTCGTTTCGGGAGAAGGCGTATATTTCACCATGTTCCTATAGGCGTATAGACAGATCCAGTTTCTTTCTCAAATGACATATGCAATTAAAAAGAAGTAATTGTTATTCCGACTATATATATTCTTCTCCTAGTAGGCTATCGGTTGTTTCTATAAACGAAGATTGTACTATTTTTGTACTAACTGTAAACCCATTTACCATATTCCATCGCCGCGACAAAATAAAGGTGTATCGCCTGATTAATCGGTTTGACGTGCTTGGCAGTGATGATCTAGGGTCATCAATATGTCTGACGCTGTTAAGAGAGACTTTTTTTTTATTACTTTTTTTTGTGTAAATATTTTAGTCTCGCGTAATCTCAAGTAACTTTACGTAAAGCTATCACATCTCGCGAAAACTACACGTTCGTGACATTTTTCTCGTTGATCGTAATGCGTCATGGGGACATGTTGATATTTACGATGAAATTTCATCTCGCGTTATTGGAATACGCTTGCCTCTCGCGTTAACGCCATCTCCTTACAACTTGGAGTAACTACACGCCACGTGTCGATGATATTTGCAAGGAATTTCCAGAATAAAACACCACTACAATATTATTACAGCATAAACCTTAGTTTACATGGCCTATAATAATTAAACCAATTATAGACCTACTCCCTTCGAATCTCCAGAAACGGTTTAAATAATTGTCTAACTCCTATGCTTTGAGGATCATTCTTTTTAATATGACGTCACATTTTCTTCTCTTTTTATTTCAATAGACTCAGAAGAGTGCCAAATACTTGATTATGTGGTTGATAATTGTGAAGTAATTGACCTTTACGAGGGCCTCGGTGACAATGGATATAGAGAGGCGTTCACGGGGCCGTGTAATCGACACCAACTTTGTTATATTTGTGTAAGTATGTGTATTTTCGCAAAATTCCACTTTTCTTGGTCGTTTTGTAAACGCATAGATTGAGAAAGCTTAGCATCACGTGACAATTAAATGTTCCCTTATCGTCGAGAAATTGTAGTCTTCTTGCCATGAAGAGTTTTGACAGAAGTCGTGAGTTTTTCAATTCATGGAAGGCCGCGTCTTCCGAGTCATGCGAAGCTACATACAAGACCGTACCTGATTGGGTACCCAAACCCAACAACTAAAAGTCCGGCCAATCAGAGAGCTTGTTGACAATTTTTGTTCGATGTGTCAAATTCTGTCTTGTATATGTGCTTGCGATCTAACTACGTCTTCTTGCAAAAGCTTAAAGCGGGAGGGTCGTCACCTACGCACGCGCGGGAATTGAGTCCCAAGCGACGATAACAACACACACTAACACCGCAAAGGCTTATGGGTAGACGCTTGTTTGTAAACAATGACATGCTATGGCCATCTGACGCATGCGCAGGTGACGACTCCCCCGCTTTAAATATGGCAGTTCTGGTCAAATTTGTAAATATATTTGTTACAAAAAAAAACGCATATGCGTTTATGCTGTTGGCGGAAACATGTATACCAATATCATCTAACCCAACTTTCACAATTCTTGCTCACAACCGATATTCAACAAATGGTATTCCAGTAGCTAAATAGAACCTGATTGATTTTTTTCTTTAATTACTTTCAAGTTGTTGAACGTCATATAAAAATACTGGGTATATAATGATAAGTCACTAGATTTTTAAATATTTGATTTTTGCCACATCAGGAATTATAATCGGAAAATATCTATATATATCCTGACTATCCGGTTAATCAGTATGTGTCCATTTCGATTTGTTGTAAAGTGTGTAGTACGTGACATAATGCATAATATGGTCACGTAATGTCATTTTTAATTTGTTCGACGCTACACGGAACTATTCAGCCTGTTTGGGGAGGGACTAATAATACTATAAAAAAACGATATACAATAGATAATATTTGGTAATCGTTGTCTTGTGTAACTATTCAAAATATAGACGTTTCGTGCATGGGACCTTCTTATACTAGTATATCATTTAATGAGATGTTACTACATATGATTACACAGACGTATGTTGATATGCATATATATATATATATATATATATATATATATATATATATATATATATATATATATATATATATATATATATACACGGATTTATCCTAAAACTAAAAGCTGGTGTGGGTCGCGCGCTGAATAGTGTTCTCCTGATGTAATGTTGCGCTGATAGTCGTGTTGTAATCTAACTAACACGTGTTGAATTACTGGTACGTTTTTAATTCAAGGCGCGTATGTTTTCGTCTAGTTCAGTAGTTTTCATACTCTTCTATGTGTGCTACAAAAAAACAACAGTGTTATTTTACAACAGATCAATATGCAAGTCAGTATCAAATATCGACCACAACCACTTAACACAAAATAATCTTTAAATGGAATACTATTTCCGCCTGGATTCCCATCACCTATATATGTGACGTATTGGGCAACAGTGCGCATAATGTCTTTGGGAGGTACAAGGTGTTGGAAATGCGTTCATTTGATATGCTGACGTTATCGTCGGCTTGACAAAATACTAAGACGTTGAATAATTGATTGGCATTTGTTTTGCTTCAGTATGCTCGATGACGTCTCGCATCAAGACATTATTCATAGTCGTAATACATGTAATTCGGCTCTATTTCAGGAAAGCTTTTAGTGCAATAGACAAGACCTGGATTCGGAGTCTATACAAAATGTTTTGATGGCCTTTGTTCTCTAAGGCTATACACTTGAAAGTCTGCACGATGACATGATGTCATCCCTTGGAAAATTTTGCTAATTTGCATACATTCAAAATTACCGTCATAATACCATTGAAAAATATATTCCCACCTCTAATTAATATTAATGTTAGTGATTTAAAACGCATTCGATATTTGCATAAATATTCTTTATTTTCACTAATTCAAGATGGCTGCCATAATATCATACTTTAAATTTTTGTGTTCAATTCTTGCAAACTGTATATGGATCCACGGCGATCATGATCATGACATCACCCTGGGCAATGTACTTGGAAAATATAACTAATGGAATAAATTAACAGCCATAATATATCTGACACAGCACACATTTTCGACACACGATTCGATGAACTGCTGTTTTATTATTGTCACTGGTAGAAAATTTGAAAATTCTCAAGAACATATGCCATTATATCTCTCATTTCTGTACCCGAGGCGTCCGTATGATATCCATCGAATACAGTACATGGCAGTTACGTAACCACACATGCTTACATATACAAGGCATGGTATAGTCATGTACAGGGGCAATCGCCATATCGTCAGATGTTATTATCGGCATCCGATATTTTGTGGAGCCAACTATCACGTATTGGATCTAGTGGTGCTAGATTAAGCCATAACGTGTGTTATAGCGATGTTGTCGTTCACAAGCTTGTAATTGTGGATGTTCTCGGCGAAATGCTTCATGTATGGGCAATTATAGCGGCAACTCTGTTTGCCCATGACAGGATTTCAATTTTGCCAATATTAACATAACATGCACCTGTGTCGCAGGCTGGAAGAGCGTACAAAGACAAAGTATTGCGCCATCATGTGAATTTTCTCGTTGTCTCTTAGTTGTAAGTTTCAGTTTTGCCACTGTACTGATCATCCAAATAGAGATACATTAGATGGATAAATACAAACAGTATCATCTGCAACATCCGACACACCGAGTAGTAATTAGCTGCCGTGGCGACTACTTATTGATATACAATAATATAATCTGTGTCGTGAACGAGCAGTTGAGACATTCTGATGTTGGATCACTACTCTACTCACTACTTATTGCTACATGAAAAGTGTTTTTCAGTACCTCCTAAACTTGAAATGTTACTTTTATTAAAACTGTTTATTGGAGTTAGAAATGTGACATCCTACATGTCATCTTACATGATTGATTGGCTTGCTAATTCATTCATTTTATCCCGCACTGATAAATTGAAGTCATGTCAGGTTATCCTGGTGTGTATCATGAGAATTGATGTCAGAAGTGCACACGACGCATTTCATTAACGTCTAGGCATTTACCGCTTACGTTAGTCTGTGTTGACACAGATTCATTGGTCACGGTCTGTTTACGAATACGAGGCACGGTGAACGACAGTGAGCAGTTCCATGTTGCACTTTGCGGTTTATGACGTGTTTCGAATGCATTACACATACACATCCAATTTAACATTGCGCTATTTGCGATAACCATGGCTACCATTTACAATATAGATCACTGTTTGTTTTATTAACATTAATACACTCATATATTGAACAAAGGATGCCCATCATTCTGGAAACAGCAATATTACAATATAATTTAATAGGCATACAGTATTATCGTGTTATATGTAGTTCGCCCCATTCTCCTTACAATCGGGCGGCCTAATATCGTGTTTGGCACGCCGCCGTTGTACAATTTTTCTAAAAAAAATAATAATATCATACATTTTGTACTTCGTTAGTTCGCCATATCTCATTATTTTTCACGGTCAGTTCGTTATTTTTAAAAAGCTTCATTTTAAATTATGACTGATAATTTAATTCTTGACACCTGTCGTTTTAAAGAATTAAAATTATTACAAGTCATTCACTCATTATGACACGCAAATCAAACTGTTCGTGGAGTTATTTAAATATTCTAAATAGAACAAGACGTAGTGTGTTTTCATTTTCCTCACAGGGAGAGGCTAGCATTCGTCGTGACAACGTGGACACGGTATTAATGATGACGTCAATGATGGCGTCAACGTGTTTATTATACGAATAGCTTCATTATTCATCCTACGTAATTTTATGAGAAAAAAAAAACTCCGAAAATGAACAATAATCCAAATTTTATTCCCCTTCGGCACATTGGACAATAGCATAACGGATCGGTGTCTTGCTGCTAAGATAAATTAGTAATGCTCAACTGCCTTGAATTATTCATGTCCTTCATCACTGGTTACTTAGCAACGTCTTGGTTGCCTGGCAGTACATCTTCCTGTTTATACGTGCTGTGCCTTCGTCTTCGCGACCTTTTGCGAACATCTATTTAAATACTTGT